AAAAAAAAAAAATTTAAAGAGCTCAATAATTTGCCCAACACATAACAGGTGTCATTCCTTCCACTCTCAATCCCAAGATGCTGGAGGCAAAAGAACTTTTACTGGAGAGCAATTACTTAATGAATTAGGTGAGTAAAAGGTAGAAACATTACATGGATTGAATAATATGACCTTGGAGTTGGAAAGCTAATTTCTGTATTCTGTGTGCCAGCTTAGATTTACTTGACTACATGTATCACTGTGCAATTCTGTATGCAGGTTCTCATCATGCAGGACTAGATGACTTGAGTAGAAGGTCAAATCCAACTAGTTCTGAAAAATGTTCCATGCCATGCTAAGTATTGTTACCATGCCAAGAATTGTCACTACATGCCAGGCACTCAAGAGTGCCTGCACTCCCTTTTGCACTCACGGGGGCAGCTGCTCATGGTATACCACTCCATACACTGGCCGAAAGGGAAGGAGGCCACGTAGGCGTTGGAGTCCACACACTGCTTCATGTTGCTGCACCACATGCACTCAGAGCTGCTGCTGGTGCACTCCCCACACGCAGTCCGCAAGGCACACGGCGTCCGGCATTGCTTGGCACTGTGGTTTGCTGGGAATTAAACCCAAGAGGGACATTTAAGACCTCCCATTATGTCAGCTAAGGTCAGATCCATTTCAAATATTGGTTTGTAGCCCAACAGTATGCCATGAACTCAATTCAGGCACTACATGACACAGTGAAAACAGATCATATTGGAGCCATCATGTACTACTTAGTCAAGGTATTAACACACTCGGGGAGGAAATAGACCTTTTATTCAAAGAGCATTGAGGACAAAGGTGAAAGAACAAGAGAATCTTTCAACAAAAGCAGAGTCTTACATAAGGGGACCCTGAAGGAATTTTACAATCCACCTGAACATGTAAAACCCTACGTTTATGAATTTGAGTGTAAGTAGGATCACAGCATTCATTAAATTCATCAAAGCATTCTGCATTCAAAAAGGCTGAAAAGCTCACCTACAATTTAGAAACCTTGCTTTGAGATAACTTCTACAATGCTATGAATTATCTTCTATACTTCTGCATTCCTCAAATACAGTACCTTCCAAAAACTGAACAGGATTTAACTAAATCACCAACAACTCTACCTATTACTGTTAAGCCCCCATCTGTGTGCTGCAGAGGCTCCCCCTGTATCTGCCACCATGGAGCCTAAACTTAGCCCCCAGAAACATGCAAACTGAGAAACTGCTCAAAACATTTGATGGTTCAGAACCCAGCCACAGCTCTTACATGATTCTAACTGGCTTCTGTCTCCTGTCACAGACCTCTCCTCATTTTCCTCCCCACTGACACTATGGTGACTTGCTAGCTTTTCTCAAATCTTTGGTTTTTATTTTCCTTTTTTCCTTCCATAGCATTTTTCTGCCACCAAGATATTTGCCCTTCAAAGCAATTCTAAACATTTTTTTGTGCTCAACAAACCAATCAATCTCAATGCTAGTCAGAATATTAGGTTCTTTGTGTAACATTTTATTTTTGGCTTTGCTTATGGCTCAACATAGAGCCACAGATTATTTCCTTCTGCTTTTAAAATTCTAGGTATTGCTTGAAATATGCCTGAAATTAGCTCTCCATCTGTTTTCAAGATCATTTTATGCATGTCAATACTTAACCTGCCTCCTTTCTGAAACTTCCTGGAGCCTATCACCAGTGTCCTTACCAGGCCGTTCACAGATGCTGCCATTGAGGGGGTTGATGCAGGTTGCAGCCTTTAATCCCCGAACAGTGGGTTCTGATAAAATTCCGCAGAACCCAGCATCGCTAGGCTCAGATGGCATCCACTGTAGTAAACTATTTGTAAATGGAGACATATCTTCCCAGCACCAGTAGGAGACATTGATCTTCCGAAGGCCAACCCATGGGGTTAAGGTGAGCTTGGACTGTGGGCAAAAGAGACATAATTATGCAATCAATGTTTTSACCAAACAGGCTACTTGATAAAACCCACTAAGTTAGGTATATTCACAGGTACAGGAAAGCCTTCCTATACTCTAAACTCGGCCATTGGGATAGATCACCACTTCAATATGGCCATTTTACAAAGAACAAATTTATAGCTTAGAGAAAAGAAATATCAAAATTTTCACAGAGATCCATAACAAAGTAATAACTGAGTACCAAAATTTTTATACTCTGCATCAAATCCTACAAAGAGATGGTTATCCTAAATTGGCTTAAGTGCCATTCACACATGAAGTCATTTCACCAACATTCATAAAATATTGATAATGTATCCATCCTTAGAAAAGGAGCTAAGCCTGTATGATGCTTTTATTTTATTTTTTAAATTTTGGGGGTCTGGGGTTGTGGGTCAATAACAGAACACTTGCCTAGCATGTGTGAGGCACTGGGTTCAATCCTCAGCACCACATATAAATAAATAAAGAATAAAGGTACATCAACAACTAAAAAATATTTTTAAAAAAATTTTAATTTGTTCTAATTAGTTTACATGATAGCAGAATGCATTTTGACACATTGTACACAAATGGAGCACAACTTCTCATTCCTCTGGGTGTACATGGTGCAGTCACACCAGTAGTATAATTATACACATATGTAATAATGTCTGTCTCATTCTACAGTCCTTCCCATCCCCACCACCCCACCCACTCCCACTCCCCTCTGAACAATCCAAAGTTTGTGTGATGCTTTTATAATTGTATACATTGTGAGATGGTTGACACTATCAACTAATTGACATCCATTACCTCTCATATTTACCTTTGTATGACCGTATRTACATGTATGTGATGAGAACATGTAAAAACTATGTCCTTAAGAAATATTTAGTATACATTCACCATTATTAACTACTATCACCATAGCATATATTAGATSTCTAGAACATCTTATGTAACTAAACTTCGAACAATTTGATCAGCATGTTCCCATTTCTCACCGCACCTCCCAAGGCCCTRAAAACCACCAGTGTACTCTCTGCTTCCCTGAGTTAGACATTTATAAATTCTACACATAAGCAAAGTCATGTATTTGTCTTTTTGTGACCAGCTTATTTCATTCAGTATAAGGTCCTCCAGGTCTATCCATGTGGTTGCAAATGACAGTATTTCCTTCTTTTTTAAGGCTGAATCATAATACTCTGTGGAGGAGGGGTGTGGGTGTGGGTGTTTACTGTATTTTTTATTCTATTTCTCCACTTAGCAATGGATTTTATAAAGAATAAGAGCAATGAACACCTTGGATGGTTTTCATCTCCTACTCCCTAAAATTTCCTTGCCATTGCACTTTAAAAAAAATGTTTTATAATCAATTTATAATGTCTAACCCAGAAATGAAAGGTAGTCTTAATTTTGACAGTTGAAAAAAACATGTACAATGTATTTTCACTTTTGAGAAGGAAAAATATGCATGCCTAGTAAAAGACCTGAAACAAATAAATTCTAAGAGTTTTTAGTGGTATTAACAAATGATATTTGTTTTCTTACATTCTTTTATTAGTATTTTCTAATTTTCCTTTAAAAACAAACAAAATTATAACTAATATATTTTACAAGTCTTTTAATAATGTCTTTTTGCTTTCCTGATAAAATGCAGAGCCATTAGCATTGTAGACAAGGTATCTCTGATTTGACTATGGGCCCTTCTTGAAGCCCAGCTATAGCATCTTCCTCCCATCCAACCTGCCCCAGCCAAACAAACTAACCCGCAGCTCGCTCAGTGAGCCATTCCCTCAACCTCTACACCTTGTATGAGAGGGTACCAACATACAGGGAGCCCGTCCTTCTTCCCTTTCCACTTCACTCCTTCCCACCTTCAGGATTATCTCCTCCCAGCTCTACCACACAGCCTCTACCCTATCTTGCTTTTTCATATATGGGATCTACAGACTGGGCCACATCTGGAGATAAACCTATGGGGAACACATTACACTTTAGTTGTCTCATCTGTTTGTCTTATCTCAAGAGTGTGGGGTTCTGTTTAATTAAAGCTATCATAGCAGACTAGACCACCCAGAACCTGGTAGGGCTGTAACACCTGAAGAAGAGAGGAAAGGGAACTGAGGTACATCTGTGCCCAGCTGGGAACTTTCTACACCAATTGTCTCACACAGAGGTGGACTTAAGAGTCACCAGTAGAGAACCAGCACTATGGGCAAAGTTGTGAGCCTCCCATTTCTTGAGGGAGTGAATGACCATAGATAGGTAAGGCTGGCTGACAGCCAAGGACAGAATGCTAGGAGAGGCCAACATCTGGGGAAGAGAAGAACAGAACCAACACAGACAATCTCTGATGGAGATTATAAAATTAGAAAAAGCTATCATAACATACCAAATGTGGTCCCTGAGGTAGGCATATTAAGCATGGGCTGCCAATATCTGAGAGTCCACACCATAACAAAGTTTCACTGGAAAAAAAGTACTGAGAGAGAGTAAACACAGGCACCTCTTCCCTCCCTATCTCAGAATGCCCTTTTATGTGATATACAGAGCCAGGACCCAGGCCACATTCCATACTTTATTCACATTAGATAAAGCCAGTTTCACCCAGTGAAGTGGTGCCCTGAGTTCCTCACTGCTTAACAAAAGAATATCACCCCCACACTTTTCCCTACCACAGTCTACCCARCTGAGAGAGCTTTGTTCTCTGAATATCTGCTTAAGTGAAGGTATAATCACAGGGCCTGCACTTTGGACTAAAAAGGGCAAAATGTGATTGTGGAACAACAACTAAAAGTCATCCAATCATCCAATAGCTTGGATGGACAGGAACAGAACGTGAGCCTTGCTGATCTCAGAAACCCTTCAAAAGAAGATGCCCTCTCTTGTTGGGCTGCCAGGTCTAGAGAGACCCAAACAGATGTATATTTCTTGGTGGTAGTGACATGTTCTGAATAATACCTTAAATCTAAAGGAAATAATGTCTAAATATGATGCCTAATTAGCTGTGACCCCTCACTCCCTACCACAGCAGAAACTATAGAGGTAAAACAAGCAGGGATCATCCAGTGATGTCACCAGAGTATGTGCACAAATACACACATTACTATACATCTCATATATTATTTTTCATGTTATAATAAATATGACTAAGAAAATGTATGAAGTATTAAAAAGGTTTCAAGGTTAAAGGCATTTAAGGACAAGACTTCAGCTGGGGTTATAGCTCACTTGATAGAGCGTTTGCCTAGCATGTGTGAGGCACAGGTTTGATCCTCAGCACCATATAAAAATACATAAATAAATAAAATAAAGGTATTGTGTCTGTCTACAACTAAAAAAAATATTAAAACAACAAAAAAAGGAAGAGACTGACAGTGTAGCGCCATATCTACTACGCCACGCATCCTGGCATTCCTCCTCTTCCCAGCACATCCGTCACCCACAGCCTTCCATGCACCAGCTGTGGTCATGCCCTCAGCAGAAAGGTGGGTAAGAGACACTTAGGTTCTGAGGATTCACTCACCATGCTTTGTGATGGCTGCATTATTTGCAGCTGCTTAAGGACAAATTCCACTTTCTTCTGGGTTGTAAGGGAAGCCAAGAAGGCATTGTGGTTCCTACAGTACAGTTTAGCATTGTCATAATTCTCCTTGGCAGTAGTAATTTTCAAACACGAGTTTCCAACCAAATGCCAGCCAACGCCACAGATATTTTCTTTAACAAAGGGGGAGAGAAAAAACAGCTTTAGAAATTACATAAAACTACTGTATTCCTAGTTCAAGTTCCTGAACACCTAAATGATCCTTGAGATTGAATTCTAGGTGCTTCATTAAGAATGTGGCAAGGGCAAGTGACACATTTTTCACTTCCAGACACAGAATGCAAGAGATAAGTTTGTCAGTCCTATCTACTGGGTCTCATGAAGTATATTCTGAAGTCAACTCTCCAGTCACTTGGAGGAAAATCCATTTAGTGTAAATGCTAGATTGATGGCAGAGCTTTTAGAAGAATAATTAGAAATAAGACTAACTCCTATGTGGAGAGCAGACAGATGAATATAACAATGGAAAGGTGGAGTACAGAACTGTAAACATGGAAATGAGTTGGGAATGAATAAATCTAAAGTCTTCAAATGCTGCACTTTTCCTTGCTTTCAGGTACAAGTTATACCCAAGCACACAAATCATACCAAAAAAYGAGGAGGGTAAGATCTTAGGAAAAGTCCAAAGTCCACACAAGGCAAGTTTTGTAATCAGTTCCTTGTGATCAGGCTGAACCCACATTAAGATTCTGCATAGAAGCTGGGGACACTCCCGGTTCAACAGTGAATGAAATAGCAACACCATCAGAACCAAAGTACCCTGGAGACACCATGAACAATGTTCATTAGCAGAAACAGCCACTGAGATCATTGGGAGGTACCACAGGAAAGAGATCATTTGAGAGCACACAGACTTGCTCCTTGAAGCATGGAATGAACAAGTTAAAATGAAGACTCTAGGACCCCACCCCAGGCCTATACAAGAACATGCCTTTTGGCAAGATCCCAGGGGTTTTGCTATTCATGAATGTCTGACACTCAGAACAATGAACAAGAAGCCCATTCTGAAAGATGTACTGCATTACTCCAAAGAACATTCAAAAGGGCCCTGGTTCTACTCAAGTGGCCTGCTCATGCCTCAGATGTTGCATAGTGCCACAGAACTCCCCCTTCCTGGACATCCAGTTGGAGCAAATACATCAGGGGATCAGTCGGCTGGCCACCCCAAAGTCATCACCTTAAACCTYAGGATGCCATAAACCAGGTACTCAGGACTGGCAGTCACCTCAGAGTTGCTGCTAACACAGAAATCTTCCTCTCCCTCTGCTCAGAGAAGCCCCTCAAGAGGTGCCAACAACCAAATCCCCATGTTCAGTAACACTCTTCCATACAGTGCCCAGAAGTCTGGCAGCTGAGACTACAGACTTCTAGTCTCAGTTATCACAGCCAGGTAGATGTCAAGGGAAGGAGCAGGTTCACTGACATGAACCCAGAATCATTTCATTCTCCAGAGGAGCAGATAATGTTTGACTTATTTCAAAGAATAGAGGAGTACATACTTACAAATTGGATTTTAGTTAAATAAACAACAAATAAATGTGACAGATACATAGAATAAGGTCCTCCCCCCAATTAAGTTCAACCCAGGTTGCAAAAGATTAAGGGATCTGGATCCATACTCCAGGTGCCTAGCAAGGCTTACCAGGCAGAGCAATACACTCCTGATTCCGAGGCTCCCACTGGCAGTTCTGGTCCAGGGCACAACTCCTACAGCTGGTCTTCTTGTTACAGTAGTACATGGGGTTATCCTTGGGACAATTCTCATACCTTGAAATGGAGATCTAGAACACAGTGGACAAAAGCTTTTGTTTTATATCCATAGAGATAACTCATGCTGAAGACCAATAGGACACTAAACACAATAATATCTAACCAAGAAAGCAAATAAATAGAGATAAATAAGATGCTAATGAAATTTCAGTGCATCGGAAACACTGTAGTAAAATGTTCTGTTCATAGACATGCGTTTACCTGGCAAGAAAGTAGTCTACTCTTTTAAACAGCATGCCTCAACCTTCTCAGCAGTAAAATGGAAATATGGAACAGTCTATTTTGTAAACTGACATTTTATAAAGTGACAAAAAAAAAGGTCTTTTACATAAACTCTAAAAGCTTGGTCATCTTAATCTTATTTAATAAGTCCTTATTATAATCTAAATATTCGGGCTGGGGATGTGGCTCAAGCGGTAGCGCGCTCGCCTGGCATGCGTGCGGCCCGGGTTCGATCCTCAGCACCACATACCAACAAAGATGTTGTGTCCGCCGAGAACTAAAAAATAAATATTAAAAATTCTCTCTCTCTCT